ATGGGTTTGGTTGGAGTTAAATCACTCAAATTGTCACTGAGCATGGATAATGTGTTTGGTTGGAGTTAAATCACTCAAATTGTCACTGAGCATAGATAATGTGTTCGGTTGGAGTTAAATCACTGAAATTGTCACTGAGCATGGATAATGTGTTTGGCTGGAGTTAAATCACTGAAATTGTCACTGAGCATGGATAATGTGTTTGGTTGGAGTTAAATCATTGACACTGTCACTGAGCATGGATAATGAGTTTGATTGGAGTTAAATCACTCAAATTGTCACTGAGCATAGATAATGTGTTTGGTTGGAGTTAAATCACTGAAATTGTCACTGAGCATGGATAATGTGTTTGGCTGGAGTTAAATCACTGAAATTGTCACTGAGCATGGAAAATGTGTTCGGTTGGAGTTAAATCACTCAAATTGTCACTGAACATGGATTATGTGTTTGATTGGAGTTAAATCACTCAAATTGTCACTGAACATGGATAATGTGTTTGATTGGAGTTAAATCACTCAAATTGTCACTGAACATGGATAATGTGTTTGCTTGGAGTTAAATCACTCAAATTGTCACTGAGCATAGATAATGTGTTTGGTTGGAGTTAAATCATTGACACTGTCACTGAGCATGGATAATGTGTTTGGTTGGAGATAAATCACTGAAATTGTCACTGAGCATGGACAATGTGTTCGGTTGGAGTTAAATCACTCAAATTGTCACTGAGCATAGATAATGTGTTTGGTTGGAGTTAAATCATTGACACTGTAACTGAGCATGGATAATGTGTTTGGTTGGAGATAAATCACTGAAATTGTCACTGAGCATGGATAATGTGTTTGGTTGGAGTTAAATCACTCACACAGTCACTAAGCATGGATAATGTGTTTGGTTGGAGTTAAATCACTCACACTGTCAGTGTGTTTGATTGGAGTTAAATCACCCGCACTGTCACTGAGCAAGGATAATGTGTTTGGTTGGAGTTAAATCACTCAAATTGTCACTGAGCATGGATAATGTGTTTGTTTGGGGTTAAATCACAGACACAGACGTTAATAAGCATAGATAATGTGTTTGGTAGAAGTTAAATCGCTGAGAGAGTCACTAAGCAAGGATAATGTGTTTGTTTGGATTTAAATCACTAAAACTGTCACTAAGCAAGGATAATGTGCTAGGTTGGAGTTAAATCACTCACACAGTCAGTGAACATGGATAATGTGTTTGGTTGGAGTTTAATCACTCACACTGTCACTAAGCACGGATAATGTGTTTGGTTCGAGGTAAATTACTCACACTGTCACTAAGCATGGATAATGTGTTTGGTTGGAGTTAAATCACTGACACAGACGTCACTAAGCATAGGTTATGTGTTTGTTAGAAGTTAAATCACTCACACTGTCACTAAGCATGGATAATGTGTTTGGTTGGAGTTAAATCACCCACACTGTCACTGAACATAGATAATGTGTTTGGTTGGAGTTAAATAACTCACACAGACGTCACTAAGCACAGATAAAGTGTTTTATTGGAGTTAAATCACAGACACAGACGTCAATACGCATAGATAATGTGTTTGATAGAGGTTAAATCACTCACACTGTCACTAAGCATGGATAATGTGTTTGGTCGGAGTTAAATTACTCCCACTGTCACTAAGCATGGATAAAGTGTTTGGTTGGAGTTAAATCACAGACACCGACGTCACTAAGCATAGATAATGTGTTTGGTAGAAGTTAAATCACTCACACTGTCACTAAGCATGGATAATGTGTTTGGTTGGATTTAAATCACTGAAACTATCAATAAGCATGGATAATGTGTTTGGTTGGAGTTCAATTACTCCCACTGTCACTAAGCATGGATAATGTGTTTGGTTGGTGTTGAATCACTCACACTGTCACTAAGCATGGATAATGTGTTTGGTTGGAGTTAAATCACTCCCACTGTCACTAAGCATGGATAATAGACAGTCACTAAGCAAGGATAATGTGTTTGTTTGGATTTAAATCACTGAAACTGTCACTTAGCAAGGATAACGTGTTTGGTTGAAGTTGAATCACTCACACAGTCAGTGAGCATGGATAATATGTTTGGTTGGAGTTAAAACACTCACTCTGTCACTAATCATGGATAAAGTGTTTGGTTGGAGTTAAATCACTCACACAGTCACTAAGCTTGGATAATGTGTTTGGTTGGAGTTAAATCACTCCCACTGTCACTAAGCATGGATAATGTGTTTGGTTGGATTTAAATCACTCGCACTGTCACTAAGCATGGATAATGTGTTTGGTTGGATTTAAATCACTGAAACTATCAATAAGCATGGATAATGTGTTTGGTTGGAGTTAAATCCCTTACACTGTCAGTGAACATGGATAATGTGCTTGGTTGGATTTAAATCACTTACACTGTCACTGAGCATAGATAATGTGTTTAGTAGAAGTTGAATCACTGAGACAGTCACTAAGCAAGGATAATGTGTTTGTTTGGATTTAAATCACTGAAACTGTCACTTAGCAAGGATAACGTGTTTGGTTGAAGTTGAATCACTCACACAGTCAGTGAGCATGGATAATATGTTTGGTTGGAGTTAAAACACTCACTCTGTCACTAATCATGGATAAAGTGTTTGGTTGGAGTTAAATCACTCACACAGTCACTAAGCATGGATAATGTGTTTGGTTGGAGTGAAATCACTCACACTGTCAATAAGCATGGATACAGTCACTGAACATGGCTGATGTGTTTGGTTGGAGTTAAATAACTCACACAATCACTACGCATGGATAGTATGTTTGGTTGGAGTTAAATCACTCACACAGTCACTAAGCTTGGATAATGTGTTTGGTTGGAGTTAAATCACTCCCACTGTCACTTAGCATGCATAATGTGTTTGGTTGGAGTTAAATCACTCCCACTGTCACTTAGCATGCATAATGTGTTTGGTTGGAGTTAAATCACTCCCACTGTCACTAAGCATTAAGCATGGATAAAGTGTTTGGTTGGAGTTAAATCACTCACACAGTCACTAAGCTTGGATAATGTGTTTGGTTGGAGTTAAATCACTCCCACTGTCACTAAGCATTAAGCATGGATAAAGTGTTTGGTTGGAGTTAAATCACTCACACTGGATAATGTGTTTGGTTGGAGTTCAATTACTCCCACTGTCCCTAAGCATGGATAATGTGTTTGGTTGGTGTTGAATCACTCACACTGTCACTAAGCATGCAGCATGGATAATGTGTTTTGTTGGAGTTATATCACTCCCACTGTCACTAAGCATGGAAATGTGTTTGGTTGGAGTTTAATCACTCCCACTGTCACTAAGCATGGATAATGTGTTTGGTTGGATTTAAATCACTGAAACTATCAATAAGCATGGATAATGTGTTTGGTTGGAGTTCAATTACTTCCACTGTCACTAAGCATGGATAATGTGTTTGGTTGGTGTTGAATCACTCACACTGTCACTAAGCATGCAGCATGGATAATGTGTTTTGTTGGAGTTATATCACTCCCACTGTCACTGAGCATGGTAATGTGTTTGGTTGGAGTTTAATCACTCCCACTGTCACTAAGCATGGATAATGTGTTTGGTTGGAGTTAAATCCCTTACACTGTCAGTGAACATGGATAATGTGTTTGGTTGGAGTTAAATCACTCCCACTGTCACTTAGCATGCATAATGTGTTTGGTTGGAGTGAAATCACTCACCCTGTCAATAAGCATGGATACAGTCACTGAACATGGCTGATGTGTTTGGTTGGAGTTAAATAACTCACACAATCACTACGCATGGATAGTATGTTTGGTTGGAGTTAAATCACTCACACAGTCACTAAGCTTGGATAATGTGTTTGGTTGGAGTTAAATCACTCCCACTGTCACTTAGCATGCATAATGTGTTTGGTTGGAGTTAAATCACTCCCACTGTCACTAAGCATTAAGCATGGATAAAGTGTTTGGTTGGAGTTAAATCACTCACACAGTCACTAAGCTTGGATAATGTGTTTGGTTGGAGTTAAATCACTCCCACTGTCACTAAGCATGGATAATGTGTTTGGTTGGATTTAAATCACTCGCACTGTCACTAAGCATGGATAATGTGTTTGGTTGGATTTAAATCACTCACACTGTCACTAAGCATGGATAATGTGTTTGGTTGGATTTAAATCACTCGCACTGTCACTAAGCATGGATAATGTGTTTGGTTGGATTTAAATCACTGAAACTATCAATAAGCATGGATAATGTGTTTGGTTGGAGTTCAATTACTTCCACTGTCACTAAGCATGGATAATGTGTTTGGTTGGTGTTGAATCACTCACACTGTCACTAAGCATGGATAATGTGTTTTGTTGGAGTTATATCACTCCCACTGTCACTAAGCATGGTAATGTGTTTGGTTGGAGTTAAATTACTCCCACAGGCGTCACTAAGCATGGATAATGTGTTTGGTTGGAGTGAAATCACTCACACAGTCAATAACCATGGATAATGTGTTTGGTTGGTGTTGAATCACTCACACTGTCACTAAGCATGCATAATGTGTTTGGTTGGAGTTAAATCACTCCCACTGTCACTAAGCATGGATAATGTGTTTTGTTGGAGTTAAATCACTCACACAGTCAGTGAATATGGATAATGTGTTTGGTTGGAGTTAAATCACATTTACTGACGTCACTGAGCACGGATAATGTGTTTGGTTAGAGTTGAATCAGATGTACTGACGTCACTGAACACGGATAATGTGTTTGGTTAGAGTTGAATCACTTGTACTGACGTCATTGAGCAAGGATAATGTGTTTGGTTGGAGTTAAATTACTGGTACTGACGTCGCTAAGCACGGATAATGTGTTTGGCTGGAGTAAAATTACAGGGTCTGACGTCGCTTAGCACGGATAATGTGTTTGGTTGATGTTAAATCACTCGCACTTACGTATTATATCAAATTTTATTCACATAACGATACTTTAATCAACATATTGAATCGAGGATAAGGCAAAATTCTTTTAACTGACATTATAATATGGTTATCCAAGGGTTCAAAACAATTACTTCGGATAATATACACACAATTATAAAGATGATTATACATAGTAAATTAATTATTTAAGTGCTATCCCTGAGGATGTCCTTCCCCATCAGACTCCTCTACATGTGCCTGGCGTTCTATATCTGTGAGCATAATGTAGCCAACTTTGTTTGATATGGTTTTTAACAGCTTGCTTTTATGACGGTATACACATATTGTCATACACGCTATGCCTACTATAATAAAAATATTTATAAATACTATCAACACTATTTTTCCTGACGACTGTATAGGCCAGCATCCCCATGGATCGAATCTTTTTATATCGGATAATTTTGTAGGGTTTTTCATCCATTCAAGCATCTGTTTGATATTGACGATATAAACATCATCATGGTCCATCATATCCTTGATCGCTCTCTCCATTGCTCTTTTGTTAAACGCATAGTTTAACCAAACAGCATGAATATGGAATCCGTACGGAGACCTGTTACCATTGTAACGACTGTAGAAGTTATCCATGATATATTTATAAGCATCCTCCTCATTCCATGCAGTGTTATAGCAATGATCGATGAAAGCACACGGAAACTGATGTTTGTAGTCAATCATAGCATTGATAGGTATTTGCCAGAACCCTTTGTGACTCTCCATTGGACATATTTTGTCACACGGTAAAGGCCATCCGTAATCGAGAGTGAAGGGCCAAGCATCGTCACCATCCATCCCTGCTCTTCTGTAGATCAGTGAAATATCGTACGTAAAGCCAAGATCTTCTAAAGCATATATCTGTGGATCGCCTGCCGTAACGAGATATGGACTTCGCCATCCAACCACCTCCTCCATTGGAATACCAGTATGATTGGCAATGTTGTTTTTCTGCTCTTCCGCTTCCTGTCGAACTTTGCTTCCCGTGTCAATGTTCTGATGTGAAACGCTGTGGACCGCGAGTTCAAATCCAGCTTCATAGTACTTCTTCAACATAGTGTAGTCAGTGTACGTGTCTGATACAAATAAAGTGATACTCACAGGGCATCCGTTTGGATTAGTTACGTTACTCAAAAACAGGTAATCGTAATGATGAGATACCTGGCCATGTACAGCATCATCAAAACCGAAGTACACCATCTGTGGGATATCACTTCGCTTCATAAGATGTTGAAATGTACTACAGAAACATTTCGGTAGGAAGCAGTTCACGTTTTGTAAGCAAACGCCACGTGACATTACGACACTAGTGCCAAGAAAAAGCAAGCAATAACACATAACATGAACTAACATGGCGGTTTTTGTAGTTGCTCTGACCGTTGTTGCATGCACTGTGATGTCCAGGTCTGTCGACATGAACTCTCGTTATATAAGACCACCTCTCGGGCTTCAATTTAAATACAAAGAGAATAATAATTCGCTTGCGGCTATTGTAGCTAGTTAATGTATTTGGTCGTCTTGAATGACTCGTTATGACACGGCCTAAAAGTTGATTGGTATCATAGACCATTTGTATAAGTGTGTGTGTGTATGTGTCTTATATATATTATATACAATGTATAGTTGATCGGTATCATAGACCATTTGTATCAGTGTGTTTGTGTGTATGTGTCTTATATATATTATATACAATGTATAGTTGATCGGTACCATAAACCATTTGTATAAGTGTGTGTGTGTGTATGTGTCTTATATATATTATATACAATGTATAGTTGACTGATGTACCCGTTATTGGACGAAAGCGCTAGCAACTCTAGATCTGTCTTCTTATTTGCTCATTTTCATAATTTTTCAAATGTTTATGTGTACTAGCACGGACATAGATAATCTAATTCCGTGGTATTAGTATACATACGTAGTATACAGTGATATCAGACCATCTGAACAGTGTAGAAAAGTAATATTTTGTTAGATATCAGAATCATATATATCTTTCTATACACGTACAATCAATTAGAATGTGTACCAACATCACGTGTTTGGTGGTTTGCATTCTTCAACGTTAAGTGAAAGAAAAATGAGCTAACTTCATGCTGGCAATAGTCTCTGACGTCATAACATCGGATCTGGTCATCATACTAACTGATAACGTATGTATAAATTATGAATATGATTTTTATCAACGAGTTCCTATCCGGACACCGTGACCTGGTTTAAATGTAGTACACGTTCAACTACATACTCCCGGGCCGTTTTCGTTTAAACGGCTGAACCGGTCGGACCACAGTTGTTCGTTTATTAAATAAAGTCGGACCTAGTGACAAAGCCTTGCAAGGCCTGCATATACCCGAAATTGTTACATTTAGTAACCGGTTGTTCCACATAAACGAACAGGCCCCAAGACTACTTACCTGTACTTGCTTATAGTATGAATTGAGCTTGAAGCCATTTGTACAAGTTGCTTTCACTAAGAACCGTTTGTGACTATTTAATTGCTGATTGCTATCACGGACGTATGTCAAGCCAGCTAAATGTGTTCAAGGAGAAATGACGATCCTATTGTTCATTAAATATATACACTGTGTATCAGACTTTGTATATATGATACTTGATTAAACATATGAGCTATCCCATATAACTTTCTTACAAGTGATGTCATATAAAATATGATATTCTATGAAACTATCTTTTATAAGGTATAAAATAATTTGTATGCTATGTAAGACATCCTGTATCTTTTATGTTGTTAAGTATTTCATGAAGTTTATAGAATATATGAAATCTTACTGACTCAAAAAAAACATCCGCCTAAATTACCCTTGTGTTTATGGTATCGTACATGTACTGTTATTACATGCAGCATTACCATTTAACTTTGCATAAATGTTGAGTTTATCTGTCATAAGACTTTTCAGTTGATCGTAATGGTCTTCTCAATACAACTCTGTGGCATTGTCCCACAGTGTGACACAGGGTTAGGTCATCTCGATCAGTATGACACAGGGTTAGGTCATCTCGATCAGTATGACACAGGGTTAGGTCATCTCGATCAGTATGACACAGGGTTAGGTCATCTCGATCAGTATGACACAGGGTTAGGTCATCTCGATCAGTATGACACAGGGTTAGGTCATCTCGATCAGTATGACACAGGGTTAGGTCATCTCGATCAGTATGACACAGGGTTAGGTCATCTCGATCAGTATGACCAACTTCCTATTGGTTAAAATCGCTCCAAGGATGACATCATATTTTCTTGCATCTTGCCAGCTCCATCATCTTGCCAGCTCCATCATCTTCATCATCTTGCCAGCTCCATCATCTTGCCAGCTCCATCATCTTTAGGAACGTCGATAGCACCAGGTCCAATATCATTTTCCTATTGTTTAACTGTATGAAGATGACGTTAGAAAGAAAGTAGCAGATACTTTCACTTTAGATAGTTCAAAAATGATTCTCCAGCGTTTTGAACAAGAATGGGAACAGTATCTTGACATTGAGGTGACAGATGAAACACCTGTTAGACACAAGGACAAACTGAAATGTCTGCAAATTACAACATCTTCGAGCATAGTAGTGGTTATCTTGCTTTTGTCCCAACCTTCATTTTTACCGACCGGCGTAGTGTTATGTTTGTTCCTGTATTGTCTCTCTATCTCTCATTGTTAATAAAGACAGAATTCTGTACGCATCGCCAAATATCACTTAACTTTTGGACGGCCATATTGGATCTAAGACTCATGCATATAGGGTACCGTTGTAGCAGCTATCACGTACCATTACTCTCAAACTCTCAACTGCCCACAGTGTAGACTTTCACTGCATGTAGTTTATTCGGATTTGGATATGATAAATCATCAGCCATATTACCTGAAACCATTGTCTTCTGCATGGGGGCATTATTTTGCGGAATAAACGTTTATACATTGGTGTACCGTGAACTATCGGGTTCCTAGGCGAAATTTTACCTCATTATGAGCAACGTTCTGCCTTCTGTCCAATATTTGAATGACTAGGTCATCGATAACGCTAGTCCTTACGTACGGTCATGATCATCAACTTAAACATTTGGTGAAATATTTGTATCTTGTCTACTTGGTGATGTGGATACCGCACAAAAAGTCTAGCGTGACAGAAACGGAACAGTTGTCTTGGTGACCAAACATATGATTGACTGATTGTGTGACGTCATGGTGGAGATTCTTTTTCGTTAATGATGTACTGTAGTATTAGAAACTCCAATGTCGAGACTTATAAAGTTAGAAGTAATGAATTTAAGCTCATATGAGAAACAAACATAGCCTGATTATTACGTAATACCGAACTAAGACATACATGAAGATTAGTGCCAAATTGCTCTATATTATTTTGGATATAATTTTATTGAAATCCGACGGCCTACATACATACTTCTTTAAACTAATGCTATGTATTCCTGACTAATGTCGGGTAGAAATGACTTGCAATATTATCGGTTATTGATATTATGTACATCCCTCATTATCAGGCAATACGTGTCACTCAGCCTTATCTTGATGTAGCGTTCCGGCCAAGTAGGCCGACAGTCGCCAAAAACAATGACAATGTATATATGTTTATGAAGAAGACACATTAGAGTGTTAATTTTAAGTTGTCATCGTTCCAAATAAAAATTAACGATTCGTATATAATTTCCAAATTGTTGAATTGTTTCCATACACTGGTCCCGGTACATTAATTTATTGTCTAGACAAGCGTGAACAGGTGTATTCTATTCCTGTAAAGGCACAAAACACATGTACACCCCAAGTAGACTACTATTATACGTCCGTATAGTGTTCATTTTATCATTGATTGAACTATGACTCCTGTACGTCAATTGTCCCGGTTATACACAAACTATGTGTGTTCTTCGTAAGATAATCAATATATATCGAAGTTTAAAAAGACAAAAAGAGCTCTTGAAAATCTGAAAAAAAATGCTAACGAAATTAAGATTAAACATGATAACCAACAATGTATGGATCTCTTATCTACAACATAATATTGTTGAGTGACCAGCGTATTATTTTCTAATAACCACACGGGCAAGGCACAGACTAACCCCCATCCCCATATATGCTTATAATTATATTGACACCATATACGCATGTTAGGGGTTGGGGGTTAGTCTGTGCCTTGCCCCTGTGCTAATAACGAGTAGGAATTTGGAGGTCATTAGTTTCCTTATCGATATACGGAACACACACAACTATATTTACATCGTTATATACAAAATCGATTTTATGATCGGTATTGTTCGACTCAAATACTAGTGAGTGTTGGTAAAGCTAACGATTTACGAAAGTTAAACATCTATTACGGTACGTCTTGTTCCTATACATCGCGGCTAAATGGTCGCAATGGAGGAGGAATGAGATCAAACGGCGCCAGTCTTCAGGCAGCCATTAGTTTTCCAGAGTTTCGGACTCCGACATGATGTCCATGTTTATAGAGACACATATTTCCAAACGTCATGCTGTATACCAAGTGAAATATTTGCTCACTTTGACCAAGGTTTTTTTAACCTTTGGATTCTCAAGCGATTGGTTTGGAACTACTGTCCCATCCCAAGGTTGGATATTGACCAGTCTATCCGGATATACATACTAGCAGACCCGATATATATCAGTCATTATATTTAAACATTGAAATATCAGTTTTAAAATAAAATTACTTGTAAAGTGGATATTTTTACTGTCACTTAACCGACCAGGTAGTGTGAAAAATAACAATTTGTTAACATTGTCAAGTGTGATGTCACAGTATATATAGATCTGACGTCTGACGTCTTCGTTTAACTTCTTTCAGTTGGCATTCAAAGGCAATATGAATGCCAACTGGACAAAGGCATATTCAATGAAGCGCGCTAGCCTATGAATGCCAACTGGAAGCAGTTCAATACTTATATTTACAATTTTTGAATCTGTTAATCTCATAAAAAAATCAATTACACTCATTATTATTCAGCATTCGTGAGTTTTTCTTGTTTTATATAAAAATGTTCACCCATTCGGACATATAACTGTTATTTATCATGAAACCAAGAACATCTTCTGTATATTATGTCAGATACAAGTCACAGTCGGTAGATATAAAATATTCATCAAAACACACTGTTACAATGACTAGAATTTAATGTGCCAAACTGGAAATATATACATGTATAAATGAACGATACGCATAGCACTCTGGTTATATAGCACGATTAGGGGTGTAGAGGAATTCTACCTGGCCGCCTCGACGGAGGCGTACATTATTAATTACAGGTAATTCTTACCTTACAGCTTAACAATGCAGTAATTAATATACTGTATAGTCACGTATACCCGCCATATCCGACAACCTACAGTCGACACAGGAGGCCGATACGCCAGACCTG